CAAAAGTCAACTCATTACAATAAAAAAAAACCCTCCTGTCACCCAGAAAATTCTAGGGAATTATTACCGTGTCAGAAACTGGGACCAAAGACCTAGCACACCCCTATTGCTCAGGAAACTATGAGGGTTTGGGGAGTTCTGTGCCAGGAACTAGGGACAGAAACCAATTATATATTTCTTATTACATCACAATATCACACCCAGGTGTCCATCACCAAAAGTCTAGATAAACAATGTGGTATATCCATATGGTGGAACATTGCTCAGCAGTGAGAAGAGACAAACTGGTAATAAAGGTAATGGCTTGGAAAAAATCTCAGAAGCATTAAAGGTCATGAAAGAAGACAGACACAAAACACTTTATACTGTATGATTCCATTTATGTAAAGTTAGAGAAAGCTAAAACTATCGGTGGCAGAAATCCGATCAGTACTTGCTTCTGAGTGTGGAGGGAGGGAAAAAATGTTGACTGAGAAGGGCAAGAGGGAATTTGTAGAGGTGTGGGTTGTATAAGTATCATCATTTGCCCAAACCAATCAAATGATAGAATTGAGACCTGTGCATTTTGCCATATGTAAATTATAACCTCAAATTTTAAAACCTCACACCAAAAATGGCAAAATTTTTTTTAAATCTCTTACTCTGATTCTTTCCCACTTCTCATAAAGTATTAGACAACCCAGTCCCACTATACTAAGCAGATGTTTTAGAGAAATGTAAAATGTATTATTTTTATGTTTTTAATTTTTTTTTTTTTGAGTTGGAGTCTCACTCTGTCACCCAGACTGGAATGCAGTGGCCGCTTCTGGCCACCGCAGCCTCGACCTGCTGGGCTCCAGCGATCCTTCCGCCTCAGCCTTCCAAGTAGCTGGAACTACAGGCATGCGCTACCACACCTGGCTCATTTTGATTTATTGTAGAGATGAAGCCTCACCAAGTTGCCCAGGCAGGTCTCGAACCCACGGGTGCAGGCAATCCATTCATCTCAGCCTCCCAAAGGTGCGGGATTACAGGCTGAGCCACCGAGCCCGGCCAATGTATTATTTTTTAATTCATCTTTTGATGTGTCCATTATACTCTATAGAGGGCATCATTTGAACTCTTGTTCGGTCTTTGTTGTTGTTATGATAAAGAAGAAAAGCCATCAAGGAGACTAAAATAGCATGGCAATGTAAATTTGCAGTGACTTGGCAAATTTTTGAGGTTATTTAATCCTGATAAGTTAAAATCTCCTGAAGTGTACGTAATCATTCTTCCTTTCAGCCAGCTACTTATTTGGTCTTTCAACTGAAGGTTATTAAGCATCTCCTGTGAGTAGGTGTTTCTTCAGATACTGAGTGGGCATGATAGGATGACTCCGCAACCATGTCCCTTCCCTTGGAGTAGTCATATTTTAGAAGTGATGAAGACAAAAATAAATTCCATTGCAACAAGAAATATATACCCCTGTATATACTGTTGCTGTGTGTTCTTTTGAGGAAGCAATGTCTTCTGCCTAGGTGCTTGGGAAAGTTCCACAGAGGAAGTGACATTTGAGCCAGTTTTGGGTGAATAATTTGTCAGAGCTGTGGATGGGAGTTGGAAGAAGGGAGGACATTTTAAGCAAATGACCAGAAACCTAATTTAGGTAGTTCAGTGAGTCTTGTGTCCTCCCTGAATCTTTAGGTAAAGATTCTGTTAATATCTATAGATGATAGAAGCCTTTCCTACTAACATAGTCAATGTTTAAACTTGGACACCAAAATATTCTTCTCTTTTTCTCACCAATAGCAGCTAATATTTATTGAGAACAAAAGATGTGACAGACACTCTGATTAATATTTAAATTTAATCCTCACAGAAATTTAATGCATTAATATTACTGTTCCTATAGATTAGGAAAATTGAGGATTGAGGTTGTACCCTTTGTAAGTGGCAGACTGTGGATTCTCTCCCAGGTCTGTCTCCTCCAAAACCTGGGATCTTTAACAACCTGCTATCTGTGTGATGCTCTTAGGATGAGCTTAGAGAAAGGGCACACAGGGCAATGCTGCCATGCTGATGCACCTGGGGTCACTTAAACTAGGAGGGATTTCACTGTTTCCAATCTGTCCATCTTTTGCATTTCTTTTAAGTTTCGATTCATAAACAATATGCATAATTATGTATAAACCCAAAATAATCTGTTTTCTTTTTATTTCTATCTACACAGTACTTTTTAGTATTATGCTTAGTAATTTCATGTATGAAAATTTACTGAGTAATCATTCTCTAAGCTTTCAGAGTATACATTTTATAAGTTAAACTTTAAAAATCTTGGATGTAAAAACTATAACCTCTTTATAGCCATTTCACTCTAATTAGATTTAGAACCTTGAAGACTTTGCCCTTTGAAAATGACTTGTTACTTGGCTTCTTGCTATTTAGCAAGTATTGCTTTCAGGTGTCACACAGGAACATTTGATGTACTCATAGCTACTCACCGTTTTTGGTAATTCTATTTTTGAAAGCCTTGTGAACTTACTGAGTAGTAAAAGCAGGAGGTAGTCTAAGATTGTGTTCCAGTATAAATATGGCAAAATTTTTATTTTAACCATATTTTTCAGAGTAGTAGGTGAACTTTTGACTAAATCTGTCATTTGATGTAGCCTAAAATTTATTTTATAAACTTTGTTTTAGGTCTATAGCTTTTGCCCAAATGATCACTTAACATAGGATACCCACTCTAACCCTCACCTCCTTCCCTGGAAAGTTGGGATTTTGTCTAAGATTTCACCAGTATTGTGTATTTCTTCCTGCCAAATACCTTGTCAAAGATACATTCATTGTCTGCTTTAGGTTGACCAACAGGGTTGGGTTGCTATGCCAAAAGGGTGTGATATAGTAGTGAAATTACGAAATCACAACCAAGAGCCAGGCACAGTGGCTCACACCCTTATTTCCAGCAGGAGAATTGCTTGAGCCAACAAGTTCCGGGCTGTAAGTGATTGTGTCACTGCACTCCAGCCTGGACAACAGAGCGAGACCCTGTCTTTTTTTTTTTTGAATTGTAGTCTCACTCTTTTACCCAGGCTGGAGTGCAGTGGCACGCTCCCGGCCACCACAGCCTTGACCTGCTGGGCTCAGGTGATCCATCCTTCCGCTTCAGCCTTCCAAGTAACCGGAACTACAGGCATGCATACCACAGCCAGCTAAATATTTTTTTTTAATTTATTGTAGAGACGAGGTCTCACCATGTTGCCCAGGCTGGTCTCGAATCCACAGGCTCAGACAATCCTCTCGCCTCGGTTTCCCAAAGTGCTGGGATTATAGGCTTGAGCCCCACGCCCAGCCTAAACCCTGTCTCTTAAAAAATAAATAAATAAATAAATCACAGATATCTGGAAAACATTTAACATTTCCATCACAGGACACTGGAAAACATTTAACAGAAAATGCTATAGTAGACCAAAGAGTACTTCATGTTCAGGTAGTTTGTTTTTTTAATGCATGCTGGTACTGAGCTGGGTGCAGAGATCCGAAAGACAGATCTTACCTCGAGAAGCTTATGGTTCAGGGAGCTAATCACCTGTGTGAATAGGTGATTAATAGAAAATAGAGAGATAATATATCATAAGAGAAGTACAGTTAAGTGCCATAAAATTCAAATATGTAGTGAAGATAAATCATCTAGCAAGGCATAGCCATAGGTATAATGCTGTTGCAGTCTGGAGGTAAAAGAAAAAGAGATAATTTCGGATTTTGGACTTCAAGAGGCACTGTCATTTGGAACAGGATTTGAATGAAGAAGTTCTGTCCTAAGTAGATTTGATTGGAAGAACCAATGATTTTTTAATATCTAATAAGTAAGTATAGTATTATGGAAAGAACATGGGCTTTGGAATCAGACTTGTTTGTACATGATTTTCAACTTTGCCATGTATTTAATAGTGGTATTATGTCACATTGCTTCATTTCTTTGAACTTCAGTTTTCTCATGTGTAACATCACAAGGGAGTTGTGATGATTTAAATGATTAAATGAGATTACATTTTTAAAAGCACATAGCAAAATGCCTAGCACCTAATTGCCTTTCAATAAATGTTAATTTCTTTTGTTCTCCTGTCTGACATGTTTCAAAGTCCCTTCCATCCTATTAACTTGTTTTATAAACATGAACTTTTAAATATCTTATTATTAAGAAAGTACAGTATTGTGGAAAGAGCATGGGCTTTGGAATCAAATTTGCTTGTACATGATTTTCAACTCTGCCATTTATTTGATAGTGGTATTATGTCACATTGCTTCATGTCTTTGAACTTAAGTTTTCTCACGTGTACCGTCACAGGGGAGTTGTGATGATTTAAATGATTAAATGAGATTACATTTTTGAAAGCACATAGCAAAATACCTAACACCTAATCACCTTTCAATAAATGTTAGTTCCTTTTGTTCTTGTATCTGACATGTTTCAAAATTCCTTTCATCCCATTAACTTGTTTTATAAACATGGAGGCAATGATTCCAGGTGGGAGGCAACTGCTGTAGTTCATTTATTCATTAAGCACTTGCTGATCACTTGTTTTGGATAGTGGAAATACAGAGGAAGGAATGAATTATTTTAAGAGGCATTTCCAAAGTTGACTGGGTGGAATGTGAGAGTTAAGGGGAACTGGGAGGAGGACAGAGAAGAGACTAAACTGATTTTTATTAGTATAATCTCTAGAATCAAACTAAGAAAGGGCAAATCCACTATTCTCTCAGAAAAGAATTATCCTTGTCTTTAAACATGTGAGTAACATTAGCTGTCTTCTACCTGATCAATTTGTTTTCTATAAGTCTTGTACCTTTTTTAAAAAAAAAGAAATTATTTGTATCATAAAGGACTTAAATGATATAGATGATGTGATTACATTTGCCCATGAATACTGAATTTGTTTTAGAAAATATCACTTTGCACTCACTGATTCTAGCTGGCATTGTTGACCTCATAGTACAATTAGTGACTGAGTTTGTCTCTTCTTTCTTTTTCTCCCAATCAGTTTGATAAAGGTTACTCTTACAACATCCGTCATAGCTTTGGAAAGGAAGGCAAGAGGACAGACTATACGCCTTTCAGTTGCCTGAAGATTATTCTGACCAATCCACCGAGCCAAGGGGATTATCACGGTAAGTGCTTCCACTGCATGTGCTGGTGAAGTACAGAAGCCCAAGAGCTCCTAGGAAACACTGAAACAGGGTAATGGCTTTGTGCATGACTGACAGGACCTAGTTTGTAGCTTGTGTCAGTCATCAGTGTCAAGCTAGAGCTCCGCTACTCTTTCAGCGATTTGTCTTATTACTGAACCAGGTCAGGCAAGAGAAATTCATTCAGCTACTCTTCAGTCTGTGCTGGAATGGTAGGCTTTTCAGTTCTCAATTTCCCCTTCGCCTGCTGTTCTCTGTCTTTCTCATGTTCAACAAGTGTTTTGGAAGACTGAGACAAGTTCTTCAAAGTTTTTTGAAATTAAAAAACTTAATTTTGGCATAGTAATTTTCCAAAGGCTAACTACTGAGGAAAAGTATGTGTGTGTGTGTGTGTGTGTGTGTGTGTGTGTGTGTGTTTTCCTTATTACCATCATCTGATTAACCAACAAAGATTAGGTGAGCAATTTAACAATTCATGGAACCAGACACACCTATCAATTTTTCTGAGTTGTTAGTTTAAAAAAAGTCTATGTCAAACTATTTTCTGTAGCCTTCTGAGTGCAACAGTTTTTTTTCTCTAAGCATACTGTGAAAAGCACCTCATTTGTCTGGTATGTCAGAAGATGATTTAATAGTCCATATCAGTAAGTTTTCCAGATTACCAAAGCTTACTACAGAATGTCAAAACTTTTTTTGGTTTTAAAATCTTAAATGAAACACAGTTTTAAAAAGACCACATACTTTTAGGCTGTTAAAAATCAGATAATCACAAACAACATTTTTAGAGGACATTCCATATATCCAGAGCATTCAGAAATGCCTAGACATCTATTATTTAATAGATGAAGAGGTAGCCAGTACCGGTAATATATAAATGGAGTGGTTCTTATCACCTGTGTCAGAGTCCCTTGAGGTTCCTTTAGAAATGCAGATTCTCAGGCTTCACCCTCAGACATGTAAAATCAAACTTCATTTGCAAGCTCCCTGGGTGATTTTTTTTATGTCTTTCAAGTTTGAAAACCATAGACCCAGATACTTCTATTGAGGAAGGCTGATACTTTTCTTAGCAAAAGTTAACTTACTTGAGCCTGTGGCCAAGAAAAATTCCTTGGGATTCTTCTGTGAATTTCCAGGTCCTGGCATTCATCACTTATTTAGTTGGTTTTTATTAGCTTAAATGCAGGACTTTACCTTTCTTATTACTATTAAATTGTATCTTTTTAGTCCAATGCCTTCTGTTTGTTTTATTTTTTTTAATTTAAACTTTGTCCATCAAGAAGAACTATATTTAGTGAACACTCATTGAACTCATTATTTGCTGGACATATTTGCTGGAATAAACTTTATTTTTCAGAGTTGTTTTAGATTCACCACAAAATCGAGTTGTGCAGCTTTTGAGTGCAGAGTTCCCATATGCCCTCTTCGCCCAAACATGCACAACCTCTCCAGTTATTGACATGCCACACCACACTGGTACAATTTGTTACAGTCAGTGAACCTATATTGACACACCATTATCACCCAAAGCCCATAGTTTACTGAAGGTTCATTCTTGGTGTTATATATTCTGTGGGTTTGAGCAAATTTATAATGACATGTATCTGATATTGTAGTATACTACAGACAAGTTTCACTGCTCTAAAAATCCTCTGTGCTCCACCTAGTCATCTCTCCCTTCCCCTTCACTGATCTTTTAACTGTTTCCATAGTTTTGCCTTTTACAGAATATCATATATAGTTGGAATCATACAGTACTTGTAGCCTTTTCAGACTGCCTTCTGGAGTCACTTGGCAATGTGCATTTCAGTTTCCTCCATGTCTTTTCATGGCCAATTTCTTTTTTAGCACTGAATAATATTCCATTGTCTAGATGTACCACAGATTATTCATTGACCTGCTGAAGTACATCTTGGTGGCTTCTAAGTTTTGGCAGTAAATATTTGTTTGTAGGTTTTTGTGTAGATGTAAGTTTTCATTTCATTTGGGTTAATACTAACAAGGAGTTGGGACTGTTGGATTATAAATTCCAAAGTGGCTGTATCAATTTTCATTCCCATCAGCAATGAATGAAAGTTCTTGTTGCTCCAATTCCTTGTCAGCCTTTGTTGTTGTCATTGTTTTGAATTCAGGCTGTGCTAATAGATGTATGGTGGAATTTGTTTTCATTTATAATTTCCTACTGACTTATGGTGTTGAAGTCTTTTCATAAACTTACTTACCACCCTTGTGTCTTCTTTGGTGAGGTATCTGTTCAGGGTCTTTTGCCCAGTTTTTTTTTGTTTTTTTTTTGAGTTGGAGTCTCACTCTGTCGCCCAGACTGGAGTGAAGTGGCCGCTCCTGGCCACCGCAGCCTCGACCTGCTGGGCTCCGGCGATCCTTCCACCTCAGCCTTCCCAGTAGCAGGAATTACAGGCATGTGCTACCACGCCTGGCTGATTTTTTGATTTATTGTAGAGATGAGGTCTCGCTGCCCAGGCAGGTCTCGAACCCGCGGGTTTAGGCAATCCACTCATCTCAGCCTCCCAAAGGCACGGGATTACAGGCTGAGCCACCGAGCCCAGCTTTTTGCCCAGCTTTAAATCAAGTTTTGTGTTTCCTATTGTCAAATTTTAAGAGTTATTTGTGCATTTTGGCTAACAGTACTTTATCAAATGTGTGTTTTGCAAATATCCCATCAGTGCTTTTGTTCTCTCCCTCTCTCTTTTTTCTCCTTTTGGAATCCCAATTATGCATGTTATACCTTTTATAGTCGTCCCACAATTCTTGGATAGTCTGTTTTGTTTTTTCGGTTTTTTTCCTCTTTGCTTTTCAGTTTCAGAAGCTTCTATTGTTGTATCATCAAGATTCTAGAATTTTCCTCTGCCATGTTTAGTCTATTAATGGACCCATCAAAAAAATTGTTTTTGTTATAGTGTTTTTGATTGCTAGCATTTCTTTTTTGATTCTTTCTTAGCATTTTCATTGCTCTGCTTATATTAATATCTGTTTTTGCACATTGTCTACTTTTTTCATTAGAGCCCTTAGCATGTTAGTCATAGTTGTTTTAAATTCCTAGTATCTTCATTCCAACATCCCTACCATACCGAATCTGGTTCTCATGCTTGTTCAGTGTCTTCAAACTGGGAATTTCACTAGTATTTCACACCGCCTCCCTTAGGTGGGACAGGATGTCTAGAGGTGACTAGAATTGGGTATTTCGTTTCCCCCTAGTAGGTTAGGCGCTGATAAAACTCAGCAGGGCTCTGGTAGTTTCTCCAGAGAGGAGAGCTTGTCAAGAAGACAGTGCTCTAGTATATTTTAAAAGGGTTCCTTTTGCCTCCCTCTTGCTGAAAGTGTGAGGATATTTTTCCCTGATACTCACTGTGAGGACCAGGTAGAGCTCCTGGAGGTAAAATTCACAAGAGTATGAGGGCCTCCCTAAGACTGGGTTTTCCTGGAGTTTTTAACTTTCAGGCATGTTCACATTGAAACTCCAGCAATTTGTCAATTACAGTTTAGGTTTTTCCACCCCTGCGCTGGTTCCCACAGAGATTCTGCTTGTGAGTTTCTGCTCTGGTGAGTTGTAATTCTCCGTGTTCACCTATCTTTAACCTCTAGTTTTGGGGGACATGGTTTGCCCTGTGACCTCACTTCTTTATTGGATCCAAGAAGATCTGAGAAGATCCAACAGAAGACTTAATGATTTTTCAGTTTGTTCAGTCTCTTTTCTTGTTTAGGATGTAGTGGGAATTTCTCTATATGCCCAACCAGAAACTAAAAGTCTGTACTTTTTTTGTTTTGTGCCATTTGCCAAACTATTTAGTCCCTAGGTTGACATTATTTTGTTAACCAACAAACACTGCCTGGAATGGTGGTTTAACCACTAATAAATCTATGTAGGCATGACTATATTCTGACCTGTATTTACTCATGTCTTTCACAAATGCATGCTGGGAAGTTTTGTCACACACTCAGCTGTAATTAATGTTAGTTGTGTATGCATTCAACTGATCCTCTATTGTCTTGTTAGTTCAACTCTTCCTCATTTGAAAATCAGTCTCTTTGATGTGGCAATAGGAACAAAGTAGGCGTTGACAGGTTCTATTTTCTTTCTATCATTTGATTAAAAATAACATCAACTTCTCCAATTCTGTTTCTTCTTGTTTTCTTATAGTGAGCACACCTTCACATGACCTTTTTGTGGTCGTTAGCACTTTGACAATCTTCAGTTGCTTCTAGACATTGTCCTTTCTGACCTTTTATACAGGTCTAGTCATTACTTCAAATGTAAATTGAATAATTCAGCGTAGTTGTGCCCCTTTTTTGTGTCCTTTAATAATTCTAGACTTTATGCACTCATTTCTTTCTCATTGAGATCCTTTGCAAATTTATTATCAGATTTTTCGAAATTAATAATGATAACTAACACATGTTGAGTGCTTACTATGTGCTGGATGCATATAAGAACTTCATATTGCATCTTATAGGAAATTTGTGAGGTGGGTCCTATATTTCCCTCACTCAACAGGAAGTGAAGCTAAGTAAACAAGAAGATAAAAAATTTGTCTAAAGTCATCCTACTAGTAAAGAAGGGTCTGAGATTCAAACACAAGCAATAAAGCTCCAGACTCTTAACCATGTATTATATGGTTTCGCAAGATGTTTTCTTTTCTAAAAATTATTACAGGTTTAATCTGAATAAAGCATATGCTGTAAATTTTTAAAATTTCACAGTTTGTAGGAGTCCACAGTGTTAAATTGGATTCTTTATTTATAGTTAATATTTTTGTTAAATACATTTGCTTGGCATCCTGGCTTGTTCTCATTATTTTATTATCAACCAATTTTCCATGGATTTTATTAAAAATGCACAATAGTTTGTCATTAACGTGCAGATTTACAGATTCATCATCTGTATGACTACAAAAAAGAAATCATACTTCCCCGTATAAATTTTAAAATAAGTCTTGACTTACCATTGCAATTTCTTATTAAATTACTTAGTCCCTAGGTTGACATTATTTTATTAATCAACAAACACTAAATATCTAAAATTTTCTAAATTTTGGCCTAAAGCAAGTTTTACATTTCAGTTCTTCTGTATTTTTATTTATACAAATATTTCTAGTAGTCCATCTTTATTTTTCTCATGAAATGATATCAAGAAGATATTGACATGTATCTACTATAGGTTGTTTTTCTATTATTGATCTCCTTTTCATCTGATTCTTTTAAATTTGTGCAGACTCTACCCTCCATGAAGTAGGCATACAACTTAATTTGAAAATGATATGAAATTTTTGTATATCTCTGGGTTTGCATACTTTTCTTTTTGTTTATATTATCTATCTCCATTCTCTCATATGTCTGTTATGTAATTTTTAGGTTTTTAAATAAACTATTATAGCTATTTTGTGATTCTTTGTACTTGTTAGCAAGCACAAAACAGCTACTGTTTTTCTTTTTCTAGTGAATGAACATCTTAGCCTGAGAATGCTACAGTGCTTTACGTAGCTCCTGAGCCTGTAGTACCCTGATAACCATGCAGCTAAGTCGTCATTTAGATAAAGAGAGGAATGCAGTTGCACCCATGGGCAATTAACTTTTTTATTAATAAGCTGTTAGACAATTAGGGGGAGCTTAGACGGTCCCTCGAGTATGGTATTATACTAAGTTCTGAGTAAATAACCTTGTTTGTGTGCTGGCTTGTTTTTTTGTTGTCAGGGTGCCCATTCCGTCACAGTGATCCAGAGCTGCTGAAGCAGAAGTTGCAGTCATACAAGATCTCTCCCGGAGGGATAAGCCAGGTAGGTCAGGTTCTGTTCTGCATCCTCAGTAATGAGGCATTAGACAGATTCTCTCCATTTTATTTCATGTCCTTTGCAGTGATGCTGTGTACCACTTGTCAGGTCTCACACCAGACATTCTATCTTCAAAATGAATTAAGCTAAAGCCTTGACTTTTCTGGTTTAGACTCAAAATTCTGGTTCTTTTTGCCTACTAGGCTGCATTTTTATTTTTCTTAGTAATAAAGGAAGCTAGAAACACCCCCCCCCCCCCATTTATTTTACTGCCTCAGTTGAGGACCATGTTTTTAAAAAAACAAACTTTTGGAGCAATGTAGTGAAGCTTATTAATGAAGCTGAAAATTAATGACAGTATATTTCATTTTGGGAAATTGTTTTCTGAGCAGTTGATAATGTAGTACATACTGGTTGAATGTTCTGGTAGGCATCAGTTGTTGCTATGTTTACATGTCTGATGGTAGTTCATTGGTTCTAATGGTTTGTCAAAATATTTTGTCTTGTGAACAATTTAAACAAAAAAGAAATTCTCAAATTTATAAAACCAAATATTTGAGCACACCTTTTAATAAGTCTACCTTTAAAAAAAATATTGTGCTGTTGTGAAGACTGTTATCTAGAATGTGCTTTTGAGTTGACTGGAATTTGAAGGAGTTGGGGAAGAACTTCTGTTTCCTTAGCTTAAGAAGAATATTATACATTTTTAGAGCATGAAACATCTAAATCATCATGTGCGGGGGCCCGCCCCGCAAGGGTCGTGGGAAGTGTTGAAGGAGAGACGGATAGGCGACGGACGAAGATCATATACTGGACACCTGCTTCTTGAACAAATGACAATCCAATGCCAGTCAATACAGAGCCTTTACACCACTCCCGAAGGGGCAAGACAAAGAAAACTCCTTCACATTCATATCCCTTAAAAGTTACCAGCCAGTGGTCCTAGTAGCGAACAAACCAAGATTCCCATAGGTCTTAGTAGCAAACAAACCAAGATTCCCATAGGCTTCCAGACAACGTCTTATTCATAAGCCAACAATGACACTTTCAGTCCAATGTCCCAAATTACAAATGTTTCAAGAAAGTTTCTTTAAGTGTATATTTCTTTATGTGTCAGGAATATTCTCATCTTAGGCTCTTATGTTCTTCACAGTCCTGTGATCGCCTCCCTTGTCCAGATGTCCTTGTTACTTTTCTCTTATCTTGCAGTGCTTGTTTCTAAAGAGAACTCAAAAGAAACTTTTAGTAATGTTTCCCAGGCCCCTCAAGGTTGCTTTCTGTTTTAGCTGATCTTGTCATAAAAGTGTCTGATTATTATATTATGAGTTTAGTGAAAACCTACTCTATAAATGTTAACTTAGAATTTTAACTATAGTATTAAGTAAAAACCTTAACATAATCTTTGTCCTAAGTTAGTGAAAACAGTGTTATAAATCACCTACAAACTCCTAGATAAGTGTTAGAACTTATAATGAATTTATAATGAACTTACTATAAATTTGTGTTTCTAAAAATCCTTATGTCTAAACACTAAACTGCATAATTCTAAATCAGATAAGGAGTGAATATACTTATATCATTTATTACTTAAACAATATCTAGTAACTTATAACCAAGTGAAAAAAAGCATTCTTGATGTGCTTCAGAGTTTAACCCTTGCATATGTTAGAAAAGACCAAGTGACATAGTGGGAAAAATGAAAAATAAACCATGATATTTCCAGGTTAGCTGTGAGTACTTCACATAAACATGCCATTTTCTTCTTCCACGACTGCACAGAATTCTTCGGCGGTATCAAACAGCAAAGGTGAGAGACAGAAGGGCCTCAGCTTCCTGGGCTCGCCCTGCGGCCCGGGGTCTTTGGCCCACCTGGACCCTGTCAATCAGGTGGGCCTCCAAGGCTGGCTCCCAACAATCATGCATCCTTAAAATAGTTATTTTTACTTAAAGAATACAATACACTTGCTCTAGGAAATGCTGTTTCTTCTGTGTCCAAAGTTCAGATAGAGTTTAGTTAATTCAGTTAAAATCTTACATAGTTTTTAGTACCTTGAGCAAGGCAGTGTTCAAAGGTGTTCAAGGAAGAATCAGATATAAATTCAGCTCCCACAGAACCAGGGTCTGAAGGAAAATACAAGCCAAGTGTCATGAGAGGTGTACATGTAGAGTGTCTTGGGTCTTCTGATGAGGGAAAGACTATAACCAGCTGAAGAGTCCAAGGACTATTTTCTGGAAGGATGCTTTTTGAATTTGGCCTTTAGGGAAGGTTGGAAATTGGGAAGAGAGAATACACAATGAAAGACAGAAAGTGAGCTGGGCTTGGTGGCTCAGTCTGTGATCCCATGCTTTGGGAGGCTGAGGTGAGTGGATTGCTGAGGCGGAAGAATCGCCGGAGCCCAGCAGGTCGAGGCTGCAGTGGGCAGGAGCAGCCACTGCACTCGAGTCTGGGTGACAGATTGAGCCTCCAACTCAACAAAAGAAAGAAAGAAAGAAAGACAGAAAGTGTATAGGATTATTAGGATTTCGAGCTTAGGATACTAGTGGTACCAGTGCATGAACATCAATAGGCAACCTGAAGGAAGTAGTTAGTTTGGGCATTTTTGTTTTAGCACTTAGAAACTGCTGCTACAAATTTGGTAGGGAATCTAGAAAAAAAAGAATTAGAGGCTTTATTTTTGAACAATCGTAATCACCTTTTTAAAAATACAGGCTATTAATATATCTATATTAACACACCATATCTTAAATGGCATTAACGTGGATTGGGGCCATTAGAGAAGCTAGGACTAGAAATTAATCTCTCTCTTTTTTTAAGCGTAGGAAAACATATTTAATAAGTGCGCTGCAAGGGAGCAGCAGGCAGAACATTGATAATTTCTGTCCATAATACTAGAAATCTGATGTTTATTCCAGTTAGAATTGTAGTGCTGCAGAACTGGAAAGAACATTAGAAAGCCGAGCTGTTTTATGGAGTCCTAGGGTGGGACATGCCATAGTGCACAGCTAGTAAATCAGTCAGTGGTAGAACCAGGAATTCTGAGAGTTTTTTTCTCAACCTCACTCTACTTTAAAACTGATTATCATGAGTTTGTTGAGGGAGACAAGAGGTAGAGAGTCAAAAGCCATGTCTTAAAATTGAAACTTGACTAGTGCTTCTCTTTGTTGGGTGCTGAAAGGAGGTATGATCAGTGAACACTAACTAAACAGAAATGGAAAGAGAGGGAACAAATACATTAGGGAACTGAAGTATCACAAAAGTCCAGGAGAAAATTTTGAGAGGAAGAGGGTAAGGTTCACAGAATCCCTTGTGGCAGAAAGATTATTTAAAATGAGGACTTGGAAAAGGTGACTGGATGTATTGAGCAAATGACTCAACTTTGACTTTGGTGAAAGATGTCTATAGTGGTAGCAACCCAAACAAAATTATACTTGCTTAAAAGGTGAATGAATAAAATGTAGTAAGTAACAAAGCAAAAAAATGTGCTGGTAAAGGGGATAAGATGTCATTAGCTTAAACATCATGAGATTGAGCTCATCTGTAGGAAGAGAAGAAAAGAACGTTAGAAATCTGTGACCGAGTAGAGTTAAGCTCTTTTTTTTTAATACCAAGACTTTATTATACGTGTCTTTGCTTTTGACAACTATTACACTAAATTGTAATTGTATATTTTTTCATCTATCCCACTAATTTGTGAGTTTCCTGAAAGGAGGATTGGATTTCTATTTAACTTTCTGTGTCATAGTAATCCAGCGGGTTAACACTTGGTAGGTGCTTTAGTACTAGAAGAGAGAATGGGTGTGTTTAGGTATGAGGTGGATCCTGGAATATGCTTGGTGGTGTGCAGAGAGAGGCAAATAGGAACTCAAAGACGCAAGTGAAAAAGTAACTTATTGAAGGAAGAAGGGTATATATTTGGAGAAACAGATGGCAACAGAGAAAAGTGTGCCCCTCAGCCAATGGAATATGGAGAAAAAGCTTAAGATAGTTCAAAGGGGAAGTTGATGGAGTGTATCAGTTGGTCTTACTCTTCCCTGTTGAGTAAGAGGTCTGGTCATCAGCTGAGAGTAAAGGGACTAGGAATGGTGTTCTAAATGTGGGAAAGGTTAGAAACCAACACATTTGATAGAGAGTCTAGATGAAGAGAATTATAGGCTTTTTTTAGCTAAAGGATCACCTTTAAAAAAAGAACAGGTGCCGGACTCGGTGGCTCAACCTGTAATCCCGCGCTTAGGGAGGCTGAGGTGAGTGGATTGCCTGAGCCCGTGGGTTCGAGACCCTCCTGGGTAACTTGGCGAGACCTCCTCTCTACAATAAATTTAAAAAAAAAATTAACCGGGTGTGGTAGCACACGCCTGTAGTTCCAGCTACTTGTAAGGCTGAGGCGGAAGGATCGCCGGAACCCAGCATGTCGAGGCTGCAGTGGCCAAGAGTGGCCACTGCACTCCAGTCTGTGACAGAGTGAGACTCCAACTCAAAAAAAAAAAAAAAAAAAAAGAACAGGCTTTAGCATATATTAATATTATCTCAAGAAGATTAATGTTTATAGTTAAAAGTAGTGACTGTGTGTGCATACTCTCTGCTTTTGACTCTGCTGTATTCCTCTGTTTACTTCTGATCCTTAAGTATACCTTTTACTTAGTTGAAGCTGGTTAGTAATTTCTACGTCACCCTTTGCACCTGCATTGTAATCTTTCATCTGAGATAAACACAGATGTATAGTGCATGTGGGAAAGTTGTGAATAATATCTTGCTTTAATTTGATATCTTTATTGAGTGGATCTCAGTAGAGTGGAGCAGCTGGAGGACTGTCTTCTAAATGGCAGAGAGTTAATGAATGAAAAATTCACATAAAACAGTTTGATAAGTTTGAATTTTGCAGGCTGGTCTACATGCAAACTCGATCTTGAAAACTCCAAGTACATGTTAAAATATTGAATGAAAGTGAAGAAAAACATCATTAAAATTCATGTAAGGTAAACTTCAGTGTAGCTACTTTTACCCTCAA